ACACAAGTAAGTACATGGTAAAATGGAATAACAGGAGTTAGTACACAATTAAGGGGAATTACACAAGTTAGTACATGATATTGAGGTTTGACACAAGTTAGTACACCATAAAGATGAATGACACGAGTTTGAACACAGTATAGAGGAATGAACGAGTTAGTACATGATTAAGAGGAATGACACCATTTTGTACGTGATTAAGGAATGACACAAGTAAGTAAATGATAAAGAAGAATGACAATAGGCAGATAATGACACAGTATCTCATATGTGTGTTAACTCTGCTCTAATTCGCTGAAGGTGCCCCAGCTGGTCTGAGGATGAGAAGATCTGCGTTAGGTGTGTCAACAACGAGCTGCATTTCTACGAGAACAACGACTTTAGTAAGACCCCAAAGATATATGCAAACAGACACACAGACAAATACACACAGTTATTCACACACATGTATACACACACACACACACACACACACACACACATACACAGGTTGATGGTCAGGTTATATGATTTAGAGTAGAAAACCAGGGTACCTGCGGGGTAAAGGTAGTAAATGAAATGAGCCCAAATTAGGGCAGTTAAGGGTAGTAATGCTGCGTTCCAGTTACTTGAAAGTCAGGACCTGGAAATGATGTCACACCTGAGTTACCAGCGTTTCAGTTACCAAGATGAAAATAAGCAAAATCGGGGGCGGAAACAAGATGGCTGCATCTACAAAAGTTGTTATAGTGCTTGTTATTTTAGTTGATCTAAGTTCTTTTAGCATCCCCTTTCACAGATGTAGCCATCTTGTTTCCACCTTTGATTTTGCTTTTTTCCGACTTGGTAAATGAAATGCTGGTAACTTAGGTGTGACATCATTCCCAGCTCGGACATCTGACTTCCGAGGTAAGTCGAAAGCAGCATAAAAGGAAGTAAACGCAAGTTGACTTGGTAGTAATTTTTTCATCACCCCTTAAATATAATATGACTTTTCCCTTGATAATGAATTTTTATTTTAGGGTCATTTAATTAAAAAAAAATTCAAAAAGAAAAGTATGTGCAAGCAGGATGGCAACACCTGGGTCGACGCTGAGCCAATTAGTGATCCTGACAACATTTGCTGCCCTGTACTTGATTGGTTTAACGGCCTTGATCTATTGTGCGCATGCGTGGTGCTGAAACAGAGCGTATAAGCAAGCTACATTCCAACTGTGACATCAAATTGGGAAAATGTAAGTTTTCAAAACTGTGGCTCAATGATCCAGTGTTTGAAGAATGGCTTAAGCCAGTCATGGGGAATGAACTGGAAGATTTTTGTAAGTTCTGTTCTCTGGAACAGTGTTAAAGCCATCAGACTGCACTGGTACTTCTTAAATAGTGAAGGCGTTGGTGGGGACTTTTAGTATCAGTGGATTTATTCATGCTACAATGATGAACAGTGAACAGACTGCCACACACACACACTGCTTGATGTTGTGTTGTTGGTAAAAAAAAAAATATTCTAGAGGAAGTAAAAGGTACTTAATTCAATTCTTGGATTCCGGTATAAACCCTGAAAACATTTTCAGGCCAAAGATTTTATTTTGCTTTAATACTGTTACGCTCCTCTAGCTGAGCACAAGGAAGTAACACAAACAATCAAAGAGGAATTCTAGTGTGTAAATTATTTATTTAACCAAGGTCAGGTTATGAACAAAAGAGAATCAAAGTTGGGACGGAAAGTCTACTGTGTGGGGAAGAGTGCCAAATAAATGAACTTAAGATAACAAAACAGGGCCTAACTTAACACTTTCTGGGATAAAGAAACAAGCTACAAAAAGGCCTAACTGACTGGCTAAGAAAAGTCTCTCAAAACATACACAAATGGCACCAACCCATATCCTAGTGTGCTATACAAAAGAGTGACTATGTGTTGTGCAATGTAAAGGGTACCCCAACCTACCTTAGTCTTACCCACCTCCCACCACAAACTCAAATGTCTTTATTATGTCTAGTTCTAATGTTACAAGGTTGCAGAGTCAAAGTCAGCTGTCAGAGAAGGACCAGCGCAGACAAAGGAAGAGGCTTTTCAAGATGGCTCCCCTCTAACAAGCCAGGTGAAGGGTAGGCAGCTTCCAATCATATCCTCTCCACACATCACATGCAGGGGCAGAGCAAGGGGCAGCCATCTTGTTCCCGGACTTCCTAATGTAGGGAGAGGGAGGAGAGAGACAGAGAGAGAGAGACCAGACAGGAGGCTCCTATGAGCCAGCCTCACACGTAACAAATACCTAGTGATGGCAGCTACCATGGTGACTGAGTCAGGTGACACAGAGCACTTCATGTCAATCAGGAGGACCTGCAGACTCAACAATCCACCTCATTGATTGCGTTCTCTCTTTCAGATTCCATCGCCAACAAGCTCCATATGCAGAAGGTGTCGGACTTCCAAGTGTCACCCGGAGGTCAGCCTAGCAAGGTGAACAGCCACACCTCAACAGTGGGTGGGGTGGGGTTGGGGGGGGGTTGAGGCTTGATCCTGGTTTTATCTGTCCTGTCTGTCCTCCACAGGTGGCGGTCTATGTCCCAGGCAGCAAAGGGGCACCATCCTTTGTGCGTCTGTATCAGTACCCAGTGCTGGGCGGGCCGACAGCTGCCCTCGCGAATAAGAGCTTCTTCAAGGCAGACAGAGTTAGCATAGCGTGGAACAGGAAAGGTAAGACAGCAAGGTCTGGTCTGGTCCCTCAGGCCCTGGCAGAGCTGTGGCTCATGTGTAATGGCACTATAATTACTCCATCCCTTAGCCTCAGCAGTTCTGGTGACAGCAAGCACTGAGGTGGATAAGACCGGAGCATCATACTATGGGGAGCAGATGTTGCATTACCTGGCGGTGAACGGGGAGACTACTCTGGTTCAGCTACGTGAGTGCTGGACACTCATCTGACCTTCGACCCCTGACCTCTAACTTCTGACATTTGACCTCTGACCTCTAACCTTGACTTCGGACCTCTGCAGTGTTGTAAAAAATCTCTGAACCTGTTGGTGTAGATCAAAAATATGTATAAGTGTGTCATCCATGACACACTTTTCATGACACTCTTTTCTGCCCTTCTTGTCTCACTTGTCTCCCTCTGTTTGTCTGATGTAGCAAAGAACGGTCCAATCTACGATGTGGCGTGGAGTCCCAGCTCGGCAGAGTTCTGTGTGGTGTATGGCTTTATGCCAGCTAAAGCCACCGTCTTTAACCTGAAGTGTGACCCTGTCTTTGACTTTGGAACTGGACCGCGAAATGCCGCCTACTACAGGTACAGCATACCTGTCCTGTGTGTAGTACAGACCTCTGATTGGTTAGTCTGTAAGTCATATAACCTGCTAAAGTCATCCTGATTCAGCCAGTCAGAGCTCTGACTGGGGGGTATCCTCTGCTATGGTGCTCACCAATCCTGCTCTTAGTCCTCAGGGTCACATCCTGATCCTGGCTGGCTTTGGGAACCTGCAGGGTCAGATGGAGGTGTGGGATGTGAAAAAGTACAAACAGGTGAGGAGCAGAAAATATAAACACCTCCTGTCTCTCTCATAAAGTTTGATTTTGAAGCTCTAATTGGTCCTGAATCACCTGACAGGTGTCGGTTACAGTTTCATGATTTAGAATAGAATAGAATAGAATATTCCTTTATTGATCCCCCCCAGGGGAATTATTTTTTTTTTTACCTTTATTTATAGAGATCAGCTGACAGGCGTCCTCAGGTGTGTGTTATATGTCCATGTTCTCGTCTTTCTGTCCCTAAGGTGTCCAAACCACAGGCTCCTGATGCAACACATTTCTCCTGGTGTCCTGACGGCGAGCATGTTGTCACGGCGACCTGTTCCCCCCGACTAAGGGTCAGTAACGGTTATAAGATCTGGCACTACACTGGCTCTGTGCTGCACAGGTGGGATGTGGAGGCAGGGTCAGAGCTGTGGGAGGTCTGCTGGCAGCCTTTCCTTAGTGGCATCTTCCCAGAGAGGGCTGTCAAGTACCAGGCAGCACTCAGCGAGCTAGGAACCACAGAGGCCCCGCCCAAACAGGCATACCGCCCTCCTGCTTTGAGACACCTGCCAGCCACGCCCAGCGCCAAACTGGTGAGCGAACACAGTGACCATGTGCGCACACACACACACACACACACACACACACATATACACTTATCACAGAAGTGTGTCCCCAGGGGGGTATTCCAGAAAGCAGGTTATGTGAAAAACTCTGAGTAAGTTAACCCTGAGATGAGGGAAACTCTGAGTTATCCGTTCCAGAAAGAGAGGTAACTTAAACACTGGGTCAGTTACTGCGGTAACTTACTCTGTGAACATAACCTGCTCGCTGGCAGGTTTACTATAAGAGACCCAGAGTTTCTACATGTCTCCTCCCACACAAAGGAAAGCGATTGAACATGGATTGTCCATTCCTTGAAAATCCGATCGACATCGAAGCCAGAATAATGCGCAACGGTTTACGTCGCGAGAGAATCTTCCGACCCAGATTAGACGTTTTGTCATTTCCAGAAGAATTTCTTTTCGAACGCTACCGCTTTTCTTTGAACAGTATAATTTTTCTAAATAACCTTCTCCGGCCGTATATCACCAATCTCACACACCGCGGACGAGCACTCACATCACATGATTTAAAAAAATAAAAACAAATGCATATGTGATTTGGTTCTTCTTTATTCCTTAAGAGTACAAAAGCAACAGTCAGGATTTGTAATGTAGTTCCAACCATTAACATATTTCACATATTCACCATGACAATGCACCCACCTCAACTGGCGTTCCAGTAATAGAATTTCCAGGTCTGTTTTAGCAATCTGCCGATCCAGATACACCATTTCTTTTTGGGTTTTTTTTATACTTGTCATGAGGTGCACCCTGTATAACTCCTTAACCGGGCGGGAGCTGGGAAACACGGACGACATTTAATTCCTTTAGTTCTACATACAGATTTAACATGGTATTGACCGAAAATCTCACTTTGACAAGCTGTGCCGTTGAGGTTGATGGACCCTCCTCCTGGTGATGCCCAGCCATGTTCTGTTGAATGACAAGAATGAGTTAGTTTGTCCATTATTTATGCTCATCTATTCAGTGTACATGTCAAACTCCAAATTCCACTTTAGAATGTAAATGAATGGGCACTGCCAGTAGCTATATATTAAGACACACTTCAGGATGCCCCTCTGGATCTCTCCCTGTGGCAGCAGACAGTGTTTCTTCATCCTCCTCCTCCTCCTCCTGTAATGCAGGAAAATATACTGTTTCAGAATACTTTGAACTACCACCTGAGGCATCTGAGTATGGAAGACTTACAGCTACAGGGTTTGTTTCTGTCGGAGGCTGAAGCAGGCAGATGACACCATCCACAACTGTTGGGTGGATGGATATATATTTGTTAAAAAGTAGGCTATATATATTCATATATTAGTTTTATTTTTTTAAAAGACATAAGTGTATACTTGCATCTGATGTAGGGACTTGTGTCCTGGGGGGTGACAGGTTCGGATGAGCTTCCCCCGGGGATGCCTTCAGCCACAGAGCGACCCCTGTTTTGGCTGAGGGCCAGCTCCTCAGCCTCCGTCAGATGTAGTGGAGGTGGCCCTCCACCGGTTTTTCCGGCCTCTGCCTTCTTTCTGTTGGCTGAGCAGAAGTCAATGTTTATTTTAAAATAGTATTTTAATCAGTGTTGGTGTAGGCTACAGCGTCACATTTTAAATGACTTCAATAGGTCTAAAATATAAATGCGTTTGTATCAAGTGTTAATCCACGAAGTGTAGAATTAAGTGAGAGGACGTTGAAAAACTACATTTTGTTTGGGGTTTAAATGATTATTTGAAGTAGCCGCTGAATTAATATTTTAGTTTAAATTAATATTGACTCTGTCTAATAGCCTAAGTCCATTTTAAAAAATTTAATTAAAATCAAAGTGAGGTGCAATCACAGCCTAGCAAAATATGCCTTACCTTTTTGAATTATGTTTTTATGTTTCATTTTGAGCTGCTGCCAAGTTCTTTTTTCTCCCGTTGGATTGCACCTAAATGAAAATCAGATTTCATTCCTACTTATATTCATAACTATAGACTATGCTTCGATCTTATATGTTACGTCAGTGGAATAGTACATTCAAACTTAGGCATTGACTCGCGCAGCAATTTTCTCCCATGCCGTCTCTCTCTCCTTCGCTGCTGCAGCCATGTTGGATTTGCGGCGAAAAATGTTCTCATGCTCGCCGTAGGCCAGCATAAGGACCTCCAACTCCACCGGGGTGAAATAAATTGACCGTTTTTGCTCTGTTGTCATGGTGACTCGTGGTATCGGGGCTCCATTGATGATGGCTTTTTATAGTGGTTGTGCACGCGCGTAACTCCAGGTTATCATACTCAGAGTTGATTGAACTAATTCAGATCAGCTGTTCTGGAACCGTCTCCCATCTCAGAGTAAGTCAACTCAGAGTTCAGGGATAGACTCAGAGTATGTTGAACCTGCTTTCTGGAATACCCCCTAGGTCTGCTGTATTTGAGTCACCTCAAACTTACTTTAAACATTAATTTAGACATTCTGACTGTGTAGCTTCTTACAGAGACTTACCACTCTCACAAAACTTGCACCTGTGTGTGTGTGTGTGTGTGTGTGTGTGTGTGTCTGTGTCTGTGTTTGTTTGTTTGTATGTGTGTGTGTTCATGCTAGCATGAGGACGAGCCTCCTCAGAACATGCGTCCTGGAGGGGAGAAGGTTTTGTCTAAATCAGCTCTAAAGAATCAGAAGAAACGGGAAGCAAAAAAAGCTGCCAAACAGGTGAGCTGATGTCAACCAATCATAATAAGGCTCCCAGGCCCAACTCCCTCACATTTATTAAACTTTGAGATATTAATCATTTAATTGCTTCTTGAGACACTGATATTTGTTCCTGTCCGTGATCTGTCTGCACACGCTTAGATTTCTCAAGTGTGTCAATGTTGACTCTATCGCCACCTGCTGTTGTGTCATAATTTAAAAAAAAATCATTTTCTACAGGAGGCCAAACCTGAACCTCTGTGTGACCCTGCCCCTATCAGCAACAACCGGTTAGAGACCAGCAGTGGAGACCCAGAGGCAGACAAGAAGATTAAGAACCTAAAGAAGGTGGAGAACACACGTACACTCACATGCACACACAAACCTCAGGAGTGTTGTGCTGTGATTGGCTGAGGCTGCAGTAATGTGTTCATGTCTTTCAGAAACTTAAGGCCATTGAGGAGTTGAAGGAGCAGCAGGCTGCTGGTAAAGTCCTGCAGAAGAACCAGGTAAGCTGGACCTTTAGATTAGCTGGATTTAGAGCTGCTGTGAGGAGATTCTGGTCATCAGGATTTAGACTGACACTGACGACTATAAACCACCTACTTATGCTAAAATACATCTATCTCCACAGCTGGCTTCTCTGTGTTTAACTGAACACCAGAGACGCCTCTAAAGATCAGCTAATCATCAGCTACCGATCAGTCGATTGTCAGCTGATTGAGAGCTATCAGAGTGATGAGTTGCTGTTTTCAGTTTTCGGTGTGAAAAGTCTGTAAAAGTCTGTTTACAGTGAAAGAGAGACCATAGGAAGATCAATCACAGACTGGGTCACCACAGGGGGGTCTGTATGTCAACAGAGGGTGCCAAAGACCACACTGACTGATATCCTCACAGGAGCTTTAAATCAGAGAGTAAAATACACACAGGCTGTGTCTCATTTCAGAGACCGGATCGTGATAAGCGCACTTAACGGCGCTTAGCTGAGTGCACTGCCGTTTTGAGCCGTTTTGAGCCGTTTTGCGCCGTTCTGTGCCCTTCCTGTGTCCCATTTCAGATACAGCAGCCATCGAACGGCGCATCTGACGCGTACGTGAGGTCACCACGCGGCACGAACGGTGTCCCGTTTGGCACAAAATACTAAGCGCGCTTCAAATTCGGTCTCAAAACCACACTACCCCCGCCTCTTTTTCAAGCGTGCATGTATGCACGCTTTCGTGCCGTCGGTATCCCAGAATTCTTTGCGTGCCGCTGCACAGCTGTGCATTTCAGGTGAGAGGCTGGACTCGCTCGGAGACACAGCGCGTCTTCGAAGAAAATACAAGAAATCCAAAAACAGCAGACAGTCAGCTCAGGCTGTATGAGAGCATGATCTCTGAACTCACTAAAATCTGTAAACCAAACATTATAGATTTAGAGACGAACTGATCCGCTCTGCTTCAACAATCAAAAACATTAGAAATAAGAAAGCTGACAAAACTACAGCAGAGTATCAGGACAACATTGAGGTTTTTTTTTCTTTTAAGATTTAGAGATTTAAGTTGTAAATTTAAGAGAATAAAGTCATAAAGTAAATAAAGTCATAAAGCTGCTTTTGTGGAGGGGGAAATGACTGAAGCTGGTCATCTGCAGGGTTATCTGTGGATGTATCAGCGGGTCATTCAGAGAGATTTTGTGGTTTCTGAAGAAACAATCAAACTGATGATGATCAACATTTGTGATCCAGAGGGAGTCGAGCTCCGACGAGCATCACGTCTCTGACACCGGTGGTAGCCTACACCTGCAGAGACACCAACACCTTATTACGGCATATGGATTCATATCATAAACTAAAGCTCAATGTCATTCACGGATATTAACGGCTGCATTGACAGATATATCTTCAGCATATTCATTTCTGCCTCCACAAAAGCAGCGATTTCCTTCAAGTACACCAGTTTTTTTCCCCCGTGGAAAAGACGTATTTCTCATATATTCTTTTTTAAGTCTTTATACTTATGACAATGTTATGCTGATGTGCCAGAGGATGAAGAATCTCCTTGTTTGTGAAACCTATACTGAAGCACAGTTCCTTCAAATGCTTCATGGTCCTAATTTTAATAAGTCTCCTCTGAAATAACAGGTTATGACTTCATTCTCATAAATTAATGACTTTATTCTCGTAAATTCACGACTTAAATCTCGAAGTCCTTAAAGTCTTAAATCTCAATATGGCCCTCATACTCCTTAATACAAAACAATCATTGGATGAATTGTGCTTGTATGTATCTACTATTTTGTGTCTGTGCAAGGTCGCACAATTAAAACAATAAATGCTGTGCTCCGCGGGTTTCCTTTAAGTCAGTCGTGACGCGAGCCTGAGGGCGGGGACATTTGGCAACTCCACCAGGAAGTCCTGCGAAGGTCTCCAAATGTCCCCGCCCTCAGGCTTACGTCACGACTGACTAGAAAAAAAGCTGCGGAGCGCAGCATGTATTGTTTTAATTGTGCGACCTTGCACAGACACAAAATAGTAGATACATACAAGCACAGATCATTCCCACAAAATTCATCCAATGATTGTTTTGTATGAAGGAGTATGAGGGCCCTATTGAGAAGGAGGATAGGAGATACTTCATCCTTTGGCACATCAGCATCACATTGTCATAAGTATAAAGACTTTAAAAAAAGAATATATGAGAAATACGTCTTTTCCACGGGGAAAAAAACTGGTGTACTTGAAGGAAATCGCTGCTTTTGTGGAGGCAGAAATGAATATGCTGAGGATATATCTGTCAATGCAGCTGTAAATATCCGTGAATGACATTGAGCTTTAGTTTATGATATGAATCCATATGCAGTAATAAGGTGTTGGTGTCTCTGCAGGTGTAGGCTATGGCCGGTGTCAGAGACGTGGTGCTCGTCGGAGCTCGACTCCCTCTGGATCACAAATGTTGATCATCAGTTTGATTGTTTCTTCAGAAACCACAAAATCTCTCTGAATGACCCGCTGATACATCCACAGATAACCCTGCAGATGACCAGCTTCAGTCATTTCCCCCTCCACAAAAACAGCTTTATGACTTTATTTACTTTATGACTTTATTCTCCTAAATGTACAACTTTAATCTCTGAATCTTAAAAGAAAAAAACCTCAATGTTGTCCTGATACTCTGCTGTAGTTGTGTCAGCTTTCTTATTTCTAATGTTTTTGATTGTTGAAGCAGAGTGGATCAGTTCGTCTCTAAATCTATAATGTTTGGTTTACAGATTTTAGTGAGTTCAGAGATCATGCTCTCATACAGCCTGAGCTGACTGTCTGCTGTTTTTGGATTTCTTGTATTTTCTTCGAAGACGCGCTGTGTCTCCAAGTGAGTCCAGCCTCTCACCTGAAATGCACAGCTGTGCAGCGGCACGCAAAGAATTCTGGGATACCGACGGCACGAAAGCGTGCATACATGCACGCTTGAAAACATGCTAAGCGCGCTTAGCATTTTTTAGCATCTCGTGCCAAATGGGACACCGTTCGCACCGTCGTGACGTCATGCACGCTTCAAATGCACCGTTCGACGGTGCAGAAGGGCACTTAGGTCGATGCGGTCTCTGAAATGAGACACAGCCACAGTGTTCCTGACAGATGTGTATAAGTGAGTAACTAACACTGTGTGTTCATGTATACCTGACAGGTGTGTGTAGGTAAACTACAGTCCAAAAGTTTGGCAGCAGGATCAGATTTGTACAAAAAAAGATCATACTTTCATATATATATATAGTTTGCAATACAATAAACATGACTTTTGTGTAAAGAGTAACTTATCAGAAGACATTTTGACTATAATTATTCAGTATTTGAGTTATTGTTGCTTAGACTTTGCTTTCTTTAAAGTAACCTCCTCTGGCTTGAACAACAGCTTGGCATATACCAGGCATTCGTTCCAAGTTTTTTAAGGTATGTTCCAGGGATTGCATTCCAAGCTTTCTTAAGTTCATTAAAAAGAGACTGCTGATTCGTGGGACGCGTTATTCTGACTGATCGATCCAATTCATCCCGCACAAGCTCAACTGGATAAAGGTCTGGAGACTGAGGGGGCCAAACCATGTTTTAAAGAACACCTTCCTCTTCTTTTTTGTCTAGGTAACCCTGACAGAGCTTGGCAGAGTGCTTAGGGTCATTGTTAGGGTTGGGTATCGTTTGATTTTGAACGATTCCGATTCCTCATTTCGATTCCGATTCCGATTCCTATCGATTCTCTATTTCGATTCTTTTAAAAGGCAGGATATCAAAAAAAAAAAAAACATGGTTTTAATGAGGGCGCTAACCGGAGCTCTTCGTTTTAGATGAAATTTCTGAACTTCTCCATGAATTTTTAAATCATATTTTAAATATGACCCCTTTGTGGGACACCATTAGGCGTTTTGCAATTTCTCTTTCTGTGTATCCTTCTCTCCTCAATGTACAAATCTGTACTTTTGTTTCTTTACTCAGTTGCTTCTTTTTAGCCATTTTTGCAGTAGTTTGAACGCAGTTGAGATTTATTAGGATTTTTGTATGCAGACTCCCAAAAGCCAAAAAGTTAAAGTGAATAATCCAACTGTGGTTTTTTCTTTTTTTTTACTTTTGCACTTAAGTTGTGACTCTTGCAAATGTTTTCGACCCTAAAACTAAGCCCTTATTTCCTTTTGCTGACATATATTTAGCAATGGTGTGTTCACATGAATGTATATCTAAAGGTAAATGGAGTAAAAAGGTGCATTTCCATGAAAGCAACATCTGATCATGGAGTAAATACATCCCAAAATACATAAAACTTGTGCTGGATTTAAAAAAAACAGCATTGTGAATGAAAACTTGAAGTTATTCCCAACTGTTCGGCCTGTAATGGCCTTGCTTCCAAACTTTTGGCCTGTAGTGTCCATGGCAGTTGGGTATAGATGAGTACCTGACAGTTTTGTGTATGCCTGTGTACTGCATAGGTGTGTGTTAGCCTTTACCTTACAGGTGTGAGTTCGTGTGTTCCCCTTAGGTGTGTATACGTAAGTACCTGACAGGTGTGCGTAAGCTTGTACCTGATAGGCAAATATTAGAGTGTACCTGACTGGTTTATGGTGGTGTGTATCTTCAGGTGTGTTGTAATGTGTACCTGACAGGTGTGTGGTCGTACGTTTCCAGAGATTGTGTGGAAGAGTTTTCCTGACAGGCGTGTTGTAGAATGTGTTCCTGACAGGTGTGTGTTTGTGTGTTCCTGACCTGTTTGATTTTGTTCATCCAGCTGGAGAAGATGCAGAAGGAGGAGCAGCTACTGAAGGAGCTTGAAGAGCTGCAGATTGGACAGTAGGGGGCGCTGCAAGAGACACAGGCTTCTTCTCGATACAGACACACAAATGTTTACTGCACTTATCATAATTATGTGCTATGTGCTATAACATGACTGTTGAGCGGTTGGGCCTGTAAAATAAAGTTATGATTGACACACCCACTATAGTCATAATCTGATTGGATGGCTGGTCAGCTTCCTGTTTACCTCCACCTGCCTGATTCTTTAGGTCAACAGTTGTTTATTTGGAGGCTGCCTAAAGGCATACTGGGAAATACAGGAGGGAGCTATTGTGTGTGGGTGTGGGTTGGGGGGGCGCTACTCTGTTGCTATGCAACACTTGTGAAGGAGCCACAGCCTTTGACAATGTTCCTTTCAAAATTAAAGCCTTGTCTCCTCTTAGGCCTCAATTAAACTGAATACAATTTTTGTCTTGGACTGTTTCTGCAGCTTTTATGTCTTTAACTTACTGTCTGTGTCTAAGCTCTCTGAGTGTTGACGATGATAAAGGTGATGATGAAACCTCTTTAAGGAACAGGGTGAGTAAAAAAAGCTCCTGCTATCTGTCATAAATTTCCAACACAGGGTCAGCGTTTATGGAGACCCTCCTCTTGTTTTGTTTGAAACATGTTCAAAACTAAAGCTGTGTTGTTTCAAATGAGAATTCATCAGACCTCAGTTACTGGGGCACACAGCTGAGTCTCAGTATTGGTATCTGTATTTGGTTTTGATCTTCATATTCAGCAAACTGTGAGAAGAATTGAACTTTTTTTTTTTTTTTTAAATCATTATTTCAGGACAAAATCCTTTCTTAGGGTCCACAAAGAGACCAGCCTCCCCTCAAAGTAAGCCTTTTTTCAACTCCATTATGGACCAACCATTTATGTTCATCACTAGTCACTGTTAGCTGGTCTTTCTTGTACATATGTGGACTGAAACTCTGATGTACAGTGCATCCGGAAAGTATTCATACCACTTCACTTTTTCCACATTTTGTTATGGTACAGCCTTATTCCAAAATGGATTAAATTCCTTTTTTCCTTCAAATATTCTACACAAAGTACCCTATAATGCCAAAGCGAAAAACCTTTTTTAGAACATTTTGCAAATTCATGTCAATCATTAAAAACAAGAACACTCAAATGTTGCATATACATAACTATTCACACCCTTTACTCAATACTTGGTCGAAGCACCTTTGGCAGCGATTACAGCCTCCAGTCTTCTTGTGTATGATGCAACAAGCTTGGCACACCTGGATTTGGGGAGTTTTTCCCCGTTCTTCCTTGCACATCCTCTCAAGCTCAGTGAGGTTGGATGGGCAGCGTCGGTGCACAGCTACTTTCAGGTCTTTCCAAAGATGTTCAATCGGGTTCAAGTCTGGGCTCTGGCTGGGCCACTCAAGGACATTCAGAGACTTGTTCTGAAGCCACTCCTTTGTCTTCTTGGCCGCGTGCTTAGGGTCATTGTCATGCTGGAAGATGAAGTGTCGCCCCAGTCGAAGGTCTTGAGCGCTCTGGAGCAGGTTTTCATCAAGGATTTTGATGTACGTAGCTGCATTCATTTTTCCCTCGATCCTGACAAGTCAAGGCTGCCGCTAAAAAATCCCCACAGCATGATGCTGCCACCACCATGCTTCACTGTAGGGATGGTATTGGTGAGGTGGTGAGCGGTGCCTGGTTTCCTCCAGACATGACACTTGGCATTCAGGCCAAAGAGTTTGATCTTCGTTTTATCAGACCAGAGAATTTTGTTGCTCCTGGTCTGTGAGTCCTTCAGGTGCCTTCTAGTAAAGTCCAAGCGGGCTGTCATGTGCTTTTTACTTAGGAGTGGCTTCTGTCTTGCCACTCTACCATAAATGCCTGACTGGTGGAGTGCTGCAGAGATGGTGGTCCTTCTGTAGGTTTCTCCCATCTCCTCAAAGGAACGGTGGAGCTCTGTCAGAGTGACCATCGGGTTCTTGGTCACCTCCCTGACCAAGGCCCTTCTCCCCCGCTTGCTGCTCATTTGGGCTGGGCGGCCAGCTCTAGGAAAAGTCCTGGTGGTTCCAAACATCTTCCATTTCTTAATGATGGAGACCACTGTGCTTTTTGGGATCTTCAATGCAGCAGATATTTTTCTGTAACCTTCCCCAGATCTGTGCGCCGATACAACCCTGTTTCGGAGGTCTACAGACAATTCTTTTGACTTCATGGTTTGGTTTGTGCTCTGACATGCTCTGTCAGCTGTGGGATCTTATATAGACAGGTGTGGCTTTCCAAATCATGTCCAATCAGCTGAATTTGCCACAGGTGGACTGCAATCAAGTTAGAGGAACATTTCAAGGCTGATCAGTGGAAATAGGATGCACCTGAGCTCAATTTTGAGTTTTCTAGCAAAGGGTGTGTGTGTACTTTTAATAAATTTGCAAAATGTTATAAGAAAAGTTTTTGGCTTTGTCATTATGGGGTATTTTGTGTAGAATTTTTGAGGGGAAAAAGGAATTTAATCCATTTTGGAATAAGGCTGTAACATAACAAAATGTGGAAAAAGAGAAGTGGTATGAATACTTACTTAAACTAATACTGAGCCTGTCAGATGGCGCTCAGGGTTTAACAACGGGATTTCACCACATGCAGATTTGCTATGTTCTGCTCTGGAACGGCAAACAGATCAAAAACGCAAGCATACAGCTCCCATCATATCCAATCTGCTGCCAAAGGAAAGGTGAAGCACTTGCGATATTACCAGTATTTCTTGCAGGACTGGACAAGATCTTGCGTGTTTCACCATGAGACATTAAATGAGATCGGCAGTGTATATAAACACCCACAGCCCACAACCTTGGCCCCTCCTATTATCACGTGAAGAACAGTTCAATGTACTAAGTTTTTTTTGTTTTGAAATTTACAGGATATTTTACTCTGCAGCTGCATACAACATCTAATGCCGCTCATGCTGCACTGCACTGAATCAAAACGTTGTGCTGCACTGTCAGGCAAAAAAAGAAACCTTGCATATCTGATCCGACCGCCGGAGCAGGTCCGCAGCGGAGCTGGACGGCAGACGGATTGTGTGGAATCACACACATTGATTATAATGCTTGCGTATTTGAGCAGGCTGCAGTTCCGGAGCCATACCGGATCCTGTGGAATTTAGCTGTAACTCCAAACTTCAGTATAAACTATGATTGGCTGATCTGTTTGTTTGCTCGTTCTTTCCATAGACATAATAGACGGGTTTCTGTGCAACGTCATCACAGATATGCGCGTGCAGCCAGGCGGCAGAAAGCTGGACATTTTTTATTTGTGTCCTAGCTGAGTTAATGGAGAAAGAAAATGACAAGGAGCTGTTGTGCTGTAAACTGTACGAATTGGCAAAACAAACAATCGGCAAACATTACAACCCTGCTCCTGATATTAGAAGCATCTAAAACAACGTCAAAACCTGGTAAATTGAGTGAAATTCATGGACATTTCAGCAAGGGTTTTTCTGATTTTGATGCAATGAAAGACAAAGCCATTTTTCAATGCAATGACATTTTATTGCAACTGTGTCAGGGAGAACTTGACACTGATATCAGTTCACTCCAAAGCAGGCTTTTGCCCCCTGGTTGCGCATGCACCAAGTATTGTTTGAACACAAGAAACCCGTCTATATAGTGAATGTAGACACCTCATAGACTGGCACTGCCTATTGGAGCTCACGTATCAGCGCAGCCACCATCTTGGATGGGTCCTCCATGTGCCCCCAGTCCATTTATCTCTAATGAAGAATGTCGGAATGCCCAACGTTATTGATCATAACTCTCTGAATTCTTACCAGATTTTCACACAGTTTGGTTTATTACAAATGGCAGAGATGCAGCTATGATATAGGGCTCTGTCACACATTGAAAATAACCAAAATTATTTTTTCAAAACCATCCATCAAGACTAATCTGAACTGCTTTCTACTCATAAGACCTTGTCTACCAATCAAGGCTGCCCAGTTATACATGAACTCCATAATTCTATGTCTCTTCTCCTATTGCCTAACTGTCTGGGGCCAGGCCACTCAATCTGCAATGAAGCCCATGCTGTCATAATACAAACAAACCTTAAAAAGACTAGATCAAAGGTCAATGAAATGGCACCATTACAAAATTCTACAAAAGTACAACTTGTTGAGTTTCGACAATTTCATAAATCTTTCATTTCTTAAACTGGTTTCTAAGTGTTTGAATGGCTTTGCCCCAAACCTAGTAAGTGAAATGATTGAAAAATACTTATATGAAGGAGCTTCTACAAGAGGAGCAGTCAGTTGAGACTGCTTACCACTGTGTATTGCTATCCTGCGGTCGTTACTAAAGTTGGTATAACTAGAGAAGAAAGCAGTCGGCAACATTCATCTCTCGAGGGGTTGTCTAACTTGGTGTTACGGTGTGCTTGACTTAAATTTACGCCAGAATATCCCTTTAAGTTAGAAAATTTAACTTTCTAAAGGCATCCTCAATTAATCAAAAGAAAAAAAGAAAAAAATTCTTAGAATCAGAAGGGGTTTTATTGCCATGTCAATGAACAGGATTCACAGACTAGGAAGTTTTTACGGCGTGATGGTGCAACATTAAATGGAGAATAATATATAAAATACTAGAATAGAAAATAATAAGAGCATGCAGGACATATATAAAGTATAAAAGGCTATGTACAATGCTATGTACAGTAATTATAACAGGCTATGTACAACTACACAATACAGAACAGCAGTGCAGTGGGAGGAGTGCAATTAAAAAACCAAGGTACATTAAAGTGACCAGTGATAAAGTGACAGAGTTAAAGTGACTGAGTTATAAAGTGTTCATGAGTCCAACGGCAGAGGGGAAGAAACTGTTCTTATGGCGGGAGGTTCTGGTCCAAATGGACCGTAGCCTCCTGCCCGAGGGGAGTGTCTCAAATAGTCCGTGTACAGGGTGAGAAGGGTCAGCTGCGATCCAACCTGCTCGGCCCCGAGTCCTGGAGATGTACAGGTCATGGAGAGATGGAAGGCTACAGCCGATCACCTTCTCAGCAGAGCCCACAATGCGCTGCAGTCTGTGTCTGTCCCTAGCAGTGGCCCCGGCGTACCACACCGTGATGGAGGAGCTGAGGATGGACTCGATGATGGCCGCGTAGAACTGCACCATCAGCTGGACCGGCAGCTTGGCTTTCCTCAGCTGCCGTAGGAAGTACATCCTCAGCCTATGACCTCGAGCGAAGTTTCTCTCGCGGAGTTTCAGATTCCGTGGACGTGGATACATCGGCGATGCTGGCTGAAGGGTTTGACTGACCCGCGGCTGCATCACGTTCTTGTTTCTCAAACGCCTTTTGCAAATAAATCGCTGGTAGCATGTCATGTGAAACCCAGCGTCATCAGGAACATTGTCAAAGTCGATATCAACGCAATGTTTATAAGTTTCTGCGAGGTGCTTTGTCTCACCCTGTAGAGAAAGCCACTTTCTAATACTAGTTCTGTTAGCCCTTGAGCAAGACCAGATGTCGGTACCACTTGGGTGGGCAAAACCTTACATATACTAAATTGTTTTTAGGGTCAATATAAGTAAATTAAAATATGATAGACTTTTCATAGGGGTAGCTTTTTATATTTTTTCTCATTTTGTTATTTTCCTCAATAGGCGAATTTTTGTTAACTCCAAAAGCAACACAGAAAGTCAAAAGCACATTAAAAGTCATACTCTATTTGGGCCACACTGCTCTTTTCTATAAATGAATCAAACCTGTGTCTAATTAAATGAGTTGATGAAGTGGGAGTGGCCCAATTTGATGGTGGAGCCGTTCTTTCAGGTATCATAGCACTTGAGCCAAGAACCAAAATTTCACATATCAGTACCACCTGGGTGGGCAAATTCTAGTTGGGATTTTTTTGTTGCTATACATCCCTACAATAAGTTTTTATATGATAGACCTTGGTAACTGGTAGCTTTATTGTAGTTATCACTCATTGAAGTAATAGAGTGCAGCTGTTCAAAAATGAAAAATCGCCTTCCTTCAAAATTAGCTTTCTTTCATTTTAACCTCTCATTTAGGTGTGTTTGAACTATTGGCTAGCCATAGAGACTTGTAATAACCCCCTCAATAGTATTTCAAGTAATTTATCTAATACAGGTGTGTATATATAAGCTTCAATTAGCCAATTGTCAGGTCTAAATCAAGGTCTAAATTAAGGATATTTTTTTACTTAGAAGTAGAAGTAAAGTAAATGCAGACTAATAGCATTATAATAACACAACTTTAATATGACACTGACATATTTTAAATGCAGGCACTCATACAATCATCCTGGCTGGTGCAGGGCAAGAAGACATTAGCAACAAAATAAGATCTACTGATGTATACACTCTATACAATCATCTGAGAAAAACTCCATTCCTCCACCAAGAACTTGATGAGACCGGCTTTGTCGGCAGGGCTGCAGAGAAGTTTCCTCCACTGCTGAATATTGTGGCCAGAAACAATGTTTCTGAACTGGATCCCCATGTCTGCACCTCTGATTAGTCTTTCTGAATTTTTGATTGACATGTCCTTGTAAACATCAAAGACAACATCAATCTTTTAACTATCACCACCTTCACGCAGGACCTTGGCTAAAGTTGAGTCCAGACAGCTTCCACCATGTCAGGATTGCGTATCACTGCACCCGATTCGTGCCAGCTACCAGGCTGCTATCTGGAGACGGTCTCTTCATACCAAGCCATCTGTACCAAGCCCCAAGGACCATGGGTGGACCGTAAATGATGAAGGGCAGCTGGAAATACAGTGGATGCGTGGTTCCCCAGCACCAGATGCGGTCTTGCAGTTGCTATCCTGCAAGTATGTGAGGACATGCAAACCACCAGACTGCACCTGTCTCAGCAATGGGCTGAAGTGCACAAACCTGTGCAAATTACAAACTTGTGCCAACCAATACAGTGAGGAAGAGCCCCTTGCACACCGGCAGATTCAGATGTACTGTAGAAGAAGATACAGATACTGATGTCGATTACTGATGTTGATTAATAAATGATGACCAAAGGGAGCTATGTTAACAGACCCACTGTGACTCAGTGACAGTATTATGTACCAAGCCAAAACTTGACAGTCATATTTGCTGTCACTGTTCCTTATGGAAAGAATAGAACTTTGAATAGGAATTTGAGTTTTTCTCAGATGATTGTATAGAGTGTATACATCAGTAGATCTTATTTTGTTGCTAATGTCTTCTTGCCCTGCACCAGCCAGGATGATTGTATATTGAGTTCCTGCATTGAAAATATGTCAGTGTCATATTAAAGTTGTGTTATTATAATGCTATTAGTCTGCATTTACTTTACTTCTACTTCTAAGTAAAAAAAATATCCTTAATTTAGACCTTGATTTAGACCTGACAATTGGCTAATTGAAGCTTACATATACACATCTGTATTAGATAAATTACTTGAAATACTACTTAGGGGGTTATTACAAGTCTCTATGGCTAGCCAATAGTTCAAACACACCTAAATGAGAGGTTAAAATGAAAGAAAGCTCATTTTGAAGGAAGGCGATTTTTCATTTTTGAACAGCTGCACTCTATTACTTCAATGAGTGATAACTACAATAAAGCTACCAGTTACCAAGGTCTATCATATAAAAACTTATTGTAGGGATGTATAGCAATAAAAAAAAATCACAACTAGAATTTGCCCACCCAGGTGATACCGATATGTGAAATTTTGGTTCTTGGCTCAAGTACTATGTAAGTTTCCCAACGTGTCCTTGTAAAGTCAAGAACGTCTTCACTCTGGACAGATGATACATTCATATAGCATCGTTTCGTTCCTTTTTTATGCACTTTTGAAGGCTGCTTTCTTTTTTCCTTTTCTTTTCTTCCTCTTCGATTGTCTCACTGCTAGATGCGCTTGTCACCATGTTTGAGTATTTCTCATACTATGGCAACGAGACTCGGCTCCTATTGGTCCATGTGACAAAAATCGCTTCACCCCTCTGCATATTCGATTGCACGTGTGCAAGTATCACTACGCCGCAGAAAGGAAATAGTTTGACACTGATTACTAAAAATCGACCGGATGGCATGAGTAGATATTTTTTTTTAGTACGTATTATCAATAAAGCTATTTTATGAATCACAGTTTATGTTGCCTCACCGAATTGGAACGAGATTCACTTTTTAGGCACTTTTTCCTCTGTCCCAATACAGCCTATTTGGATTTATTCTGACAAAACAGTAGCTCCTATCGGAGAAAATGCAGACTGTCATAGTAAATAGTAAATAATTGGGACATTCTTGCAAGTTATAAACAGGAGTTCCTTCTGCTTCACTCAGGAAATCATTTTATTAGTGTCAATGAGGAGCAGAGAGATACATTGCCACACTTTGAAGCTTAGTGGCCCTCATTAATTAAGCTTGCGTACAGCAGAAAACTTACGTACACTGTGCGTACACAAGTTGCGACGTGAGGATCGGCATTTATCAATGTGCATGTGAGCGTACGCTACGACCAAATCTCACGACAGGTCTGTCATCGTGTACGCAAGTTTGAGTCAGTGTGGATCTGCGGTACAGCAAATTTCTGTCTCAAAGTAATTGATATACAAATCTCAAACCTGTCATTAAGCACAATCAGCCAGATTTCATTAAAGATTAAGACGTAAATTAAATTAAATTTGTTGTGTCCTTAGTGAATAGGCCTATTTGATAACCCTGCCCAGAAACACTGCCACAGAGCAGGAGCGCCGTTTTACCATTGCTCCCTCACGCACACGCGCCACTGTGGAGCGCTGCGTTTGACTCCTAAAAGGCAGGTGTCTCTGTCTTGGCCCAGCAGCGGAGACGTTGTTGTACACTCCTGAAAGGGTGTAGAACATCATTTGGGCCGGTACAGTTTTGCACAATGTTACACTGGTGAATGGAGTGCCGTTGGCTGTGCCGGTGCAACGAGAGGACCCGATGCCCGGAGAACAATAACGAGGAGAGACTCCACAAAGGTGCTGTACAGGGGAGACAGGACCTTATCGATGGATTCTGACATGTAAAGTATAAGTTTAGAAAGTGCTCTTTCTATTCAATCAGTGATTAACATCCAATAGAAATGCATAAAAATGTGCCTCAGGGGCAGCAACACACCGTTTGGTGACGTTAATGATTGTTTTTGTTCAGCCTCTGTCAGACTTTCCAGTCTGCTCTACATTACAAAGACGCAACAAATTAAAACTAAATACTTTAAATAATAGGAGCAACGTGCCCTATGTAATGGCAATCAATAAAAATATGAGGCATGTATGAAATATTAATTAATCATCATGAGCAATTTATTGACTAATGATTTATATAAACTTCAGCCACTGTCTGCTATTCCTCGGCAGCGCTGTTCACCACCTCCATAATCCTGCTCCAGACAGGAGTTCTCTGAGGCCTGTGGCCTGTACTACGAAGCTGGATTAACACATCCTGGATAACTCTGCGACAACTCGCTAAACTTCACCAGATCTCTGCGATCCCGATCAGAAGCCTGTACTACGAAGCTGGACTAACCGCAACATTAAAACAGTGAGGAGCAGGACAGCCGCAGCCGCTAAAAACTGGAGGGACTGCTGGCAAAAAAAAATCACTGGTTGTGTAAATTACATTTGTGCGTTCATAAATTTATGGCCCCCTAATATGTTGTCATTGCAGCGTGTGTGATTACCTCCATCATTGACCTCATTATTTCAGACACAACAGCAGTGGGGAAAAGAGTACGTGGGAGCAAATAAAAATAAATCTAAAAACATCCTTTAAAGTAGTTTGTAAATTTATTGGAAGATTTTATGTGTACATATTTTAACCTCACACTGTCTTTTTTTCTTTTTTCTCCATCATCTGATGGTCACATGTCATCTGCAGACACATTTGGGGTTAAGAGGAGTTTTCTAATCTGCTTCAATAAATTCTGAATGATGACTGAAATGCTGCATGAAATTGGAACCTGGAGCTTGGCAAATATTAGTGCATTGCTTAGACTTCATGCAGCCTGAATATTGAGGCCGTCCAAGGAAAACCTGTAACATTCATAGAGAACGTCATCAGGTAAATCAAACGGATTGAACGATCATGAATATAACGCTCTCGGCGACGCGCTCCTCTCACTATCCATGCAACGATGTCCCCGGGATCCAGCAAAAGTGGGCAAGCCATTTTCCAAGAGATCTGATTGGTCGTCGGGCGGTCTTTTATACCTGAGGCCTGGGGCCTGTTCAACGAAGCAGGATTACTGCTTAGCGAGGTAACTTCGAGGATAAGTTCGGGGTTTCCTGTTCTACGACGCGGGTTCACTTCTTAGCGAGGCGAGTCTCCATAGCAATATACGCTGAACGGCTAACCTGCTCCGGGGCAGGTTAAGTTCCAGATTGAACTCACCGAGTATAAAAACCCCGCCCACTGACCAATGAGCTCTCTCGAAAAACGGCTTGTCCGTTCTTGGAGGATCCTGTAGACCTCGGTGCTCGCATTGTCTGAGGAGGAGCACTCCGGCTCGCGAGAGTTTTCAGGGACTGCACGGACCCATTTACTTTTCCAGATGACCACCTTTATGAAAGGCTCATATGGCCGACATATCACACAAAACATGTAAACATGATAGGAATGAACAAATGAATGATTCATCTTAGGAATGAATGGGCATGGGCTGCGCGATCACAGACAACATCTCGGTATTATTTAGTAGCAGCGCACGCCCCTTATAATAACCCCGTAAATACTGTTGTTCAGGACTGTTTACTTGTGCTTCCTACCCACTGTAACAACCGTTGTTCTAGCCCACATGCAACATTTTTGTTCTCATTCATGAAACGCTTAAATCGGGGACAGCTTTATCCGGGGACAGATCATCCAATTCGGGGACTGTCACCTTAGTTAAAAGCGCATGTTGAACAGTGCTATTTCAGGGTGATAATGGCATCAAAGATTACTTTTCTGCCAACATTCCCTCCGTGCTTTTGCAGCGGCGACGGTGTTGCTTTTGAGGTTTATGGTAGCTTTGAATTCTTCATACTTTCTCATGATCGTCTCCTGTTCCTTGTTTGTAAAGTCCGCGGTCCTTCACTCTCCAGCCTGCTCTGACGCTCCAGACTGATCCATGTTCGCGATTGGTCAGATGCGGCGGGCTCCGCCTTATATGCGTGCACGCGCTCATAGCAGAGCTGGATCCACTTATGAGGTTGATAACCAGCTTCGTGAGACCGCTGGCTACCGCGCTAAGTTGAGCGAGGTAGCTCCAAGGCTACCTCGCTAGGTTGAACCTGCTTCGTAGAACAGGCCCCTGTACTACGAAGCTGGATTAACACATCCAGGATAACTCTGCGACAACTCGCTAAACTTCACCGGATCTCCGCAATCCCGATCAGCTGTACTACGAAGCCGGTTATCAACTCGATAACTGAATCCAGGTGTGGCCACTTCAGATCTGTGCGCGCACACGTAAAGGGGCTGGGGTCAGTGCCACCGGACCAATCTCTACAATGGAGAAGGCTGCACGTCATTTTTCACAGCTGAAGAACAGAGCATTATTTTACAAGAGTACCGCAACATTATAACAGGGAGGAGCAGGACAGCCGCAGCCGCTAAAAGCCGGAGGGACTGCTGGCAAAAAAATCACCGGTTGAGTAAATTACATTTGTGCGTTCATAAATGTATGGCCCCTAATATGTTGTCATGCAGGGTGTGTGATCACCTCCATCATTGACCTCATTATTTCAGACACAACAGCAGTGGGGAAAAGAGTACGTGGGAGCAAATAAAAATAAATCTAAAAACATCCTTTAAAGTAGTTTGTAGGTATATTGGAAGATTTTATCTGTATATTTCAACGCGTGAACAGTGATTTCCTCACACTGCCTTTTTTTCTTTTTTTCTCCATCATCTGATGGTCACATGTCATCTGCAGACACATTTGGGGTTAAGAGTTTTCTAATCTGCTTCAATAAATTCTGAATGATGACTGATATTCCGTATGAAATTGGAACCTGGAGCTTGGCAAATATTTGTGCTTTGCTTAGACTTCATGCTTTGTTGAGGCCGTCCGAGGAAAACCTGTAACGTTCATAGCGAACGTCATCAGATAAGTCAAACGGATTTGAACGATCATGAATATAACGCGAAGTGCTCCTCTCACTATCCGTGCAACGATGTCCCCGGGATCCGGCAAGATTGGGCAAGCCATTTTCCAAGAGATCCGATTGGTTATTGGGCGGTCTTTTATACCTGCTGAGCTCTTATCCTGAAACATAACCTGCTCCGGAGCAGGGGCCTGTTCTACGAAGCAGGATTACTGCTTAGCGAGATAACTTTGAGGGTAAATTCGGGGTTTCCTGAGGCCTGTACTACGAAGCTGGATTTGGTCTTAGCGAGATAACTTCTGGATAACTTCTGGGTTTTCTGTACTACGAAGGTGGATCTCTTTTTATCCGGGTCCGTTGCCCCGGTAACTTACGCGGAACGCCAAACCTGCTCCGGAGCAGGTTATGTTTCAGGATAAGATCTCAGCAGGTATAAAAGACCGCCCAATGACCATTCGGATCCCTTGGAAAATGACTTGCCCACTTTTGCCGGATCCCGGGGACATCGTTGCACGGATAGTGAGAGGAGCGCTTCGTGTGTATTCATGATCGTTCAAATCCGTTTGATTTACCTGATGACATTCTCTATGAACGTTACAGGTTTTCCTCGGACGGCCTCAACAAAGCATGAAGTCTGAGCAAAGCACTAATATTTGCCTAGCTCCAGGTTCCAATTTCATCCAGCATATCAGTCATAATTCAGAATTTATTGAAGCAGATTGGAAAACTCCTCTTAACCCCAAATGTGTCTGCAGATGACATGTGACCATCAGATGATGAAGAAAAAAAAAGGCAGTGTGAGGAAATCACTGTTTACGCGTTGAAATATGTACAAATAAAATCTTCCAATAAACCTACAAACTACTTAAAGGATGTTTTTGGATTTATTTTTATTTGCTCCCACGTACTCTTTTCCCCACTGCTGTTGTGTCTGAAATAATGAGGTCAATGATGGAGGTGGTCACACACGCTGCATGACAACATATTAGGGGGCCATAAATTTATGAACGCACAAATGTAATTTACACAACCGGTGATTTTTTTTACCAGCAGTCCCTCCTGCTTTTAGCGGCTGCGGCTGTCCTGCTCCTCACTTATAATGTTGCGGTACTCCTCGTAAAATAATGCTCTGTTCTTCGGCTGTGAAAAATGACGTGCAGCCTTCTCCATTTGAGAAGGCTGCGAGTTGTCGCAGAGTTATCCTGGATGTGTTAATCCAGCTTCGTAGTACAGGCCTCTGTTCTACGACGCGGGTTCACTTCTTAGTGAGGCGAGTCTCCATAGCAACATACGCTGAACGGCTAACCTGCTTCGGGGCAGGTTAAATTCCAGATTGAACTCACCGAGCATAAAAACCCCGCCCACTGACCAATGAGCTCTCTCGAAATACGGCTTGTCCGCTCTCGGAGGATCCTGTAGACCTCGGCGCTCGCATTGTCCGAGGAGCACTCCGGCTCGCGAGAGTTTTCAGGGACCGCACGGACCCACTTACTTTTCCAGATGACCACCTTTATGAAAGGCTCATATGGCCGACATATCACACAAAAAATGTTAACACGATAGGAATGAACAAATGAGTGAATTCATCTTGGAAATGAATGGGCATGAGCTGCATGGGCTGCGTGATCACAGACAACATCTCGGTACTATTTAGTAGCAGCGCACGCCCCATGTAATATTTTTTTTTTTTTTTTTTTTTTTTTTTTTTTTATTGAACAAGACAGACAGTACAACCAACGAGAGACACATCACAACAATAACGACAAAAACAGAAAACAAAACACAACCATACAACAGCCAGAGGACTTACAGTTCAATGGTACAGAATTTCTTCATTATGGAGTAAGTTTTGGTAGCTTTCTTGTTTTTAATGTCCTTGATCGTGGCAGCATAACGGAGCAGTTCATTTTTGAAGGGTGCAATGTTTGGCTTGGATTTGGCCCATTTGTTTTTGTGAATATGGAATTTCCCCAAGCTCAGGATCAACTGACAAAAAAAGCACAGATCTTTGTCCTGGTCATCATAATAAATAAAAATATGTTTTTCCTGGAAACTGATCGTTCTTCCTGTTTTCTCGTGCACAAATTGTTGGACATCAATCCAAAAGGTTTTACTGTAGGTACAATGATAAAATAAATGAGAGATGGTTTCATCTTCAAGTCCACAGAAATCACATGAATATTCAATGTCCAGTTTGAATCTTTCGAGAGTTTTCTTTGCAGGGTAAATCTGATGTAATATTTTAAAAGAGACTTCTTTGACCTTGTTATTGAGACAGAATTTTTCACCAACCAGCCATGCATTGCTCCAGTTAATTTCTCCCAATTGTACAGACCAGTTAGTTTGACCTCTAGGCAGTGTCTTTGGTTGTAGGCAGCTTCTCAACAGTCTATTCGAGCAGGGTCTTTTTGTAATGTCTATTCCGCCCACAAATATATCACAGGTGTAATTTCCTGGAATAGCAGCCGTTCTTTCAGACCCTCTAAGAAGTTGTAGCACCCCCTGAGGTAATGCATCAAAAACCACTGCATATTGTTTTGGGGTGACTGGGAGTTGAAATTTTAACATAAATTCTTCATAAGAAAGTACAAAGCCATGGTTGTTAAGAAGTTGGTCGACTAGTAAAATGTTGTGCTCCATCCAGTCCTTGTAATACAGTGATCGGTTTTTGTAAACGATGTCTTCATTGTTCCAAATATAATAGCTGGTTGGTGAGAAATTATGTTTGTAGATCAGTTTCCAGGACAGCAAGGCTTGTTTGTGAAAGTTAGAGAGTTTAACAGGAAGCTTCTCAATTTTGTAATTACATTTCAACATAAAGCGTATACCACCAAGTGAGTTGAATACATGTGTAGCAAAGGAATTCCAGAGGTTGTTCTTCTCTCTACATAACTTACTCAGCCAGTTGATCTTGAAAGAGTGATTCAATATTTCGAAGGTTAGCACATCCAAACCACCATCCCTCTTGGTATTACATAGAATATCTTTTTTTAAATAATGGCGTCTGTTCTTCCAGATAAACCTGAATAAGATTTGATCTAATTTCTTGGAGACTACAGCAGGCATTTCTAGTGCTAGTGATAGATATACAGATCTTGATATTCCCTCAGCTTTGGATAACAGAATCCGTCCGTGTAAAGATAGATCCCTCATTAACCACATATTGAATTTTCTTTGTATCTGTTGAGTTATTGGTTCAAAGTTTAACTCAGAGCGCCTCTTCTCATTTTTGTCAAGTACAACACCCAAGTATGTCACAGTTTGTTTAATGGGAATACCATTTAATTCTGCCAGATCACAGTGTTTGAGGGGAAAAAGCATAGATTTATTAAGGTTCATTGTCAGCCCAGAAACCTCTGAAAACTCTCTGATACACTGCACCGCTTTGACAAGTTCATTTTGGTTGGACAAAAAAATAGCTGTATCATCCGCTAACTGAGCTAGTTTGAATTCTCTACCTACGGCTGTCATACCCTGAAAGTTGCTTTTTTTAATATGTGTTGCCATAACCTGTGTAACCAGCAAAAACAAAAAAGGGCTTAGGGGACAACCTTGTCTGATTCCACGACCAATATTAAATCTGGGTGTTGTGCCATTTGTTATCTTAATTGAGCTGTTAATTCCTTTATAAAGTGTTTGAACTGCCCTCAAAAATCTATTTCCAAAACCAAAACATCGAATAACTTTAAACATAAACTGGTGACTGACTGTATCAAATGCTTTATAGAAGTCCACAAACAGAATAAAACTTTCATCAGGTATAAATTCATTATAGTCTATCATATCCAGAATCAGACGAATATTATTTACAATATTTCTCCCTGGCATAAACCCAGATTGCTCCTCATCTATAATATCAACTAGTCCTATTTTCAATCTTTTAGCAAAGATGAGAGCAAACAGCTTTGCATCATTATTTAATAAACTAATTGGTCTCCAGTTTTCAATGTTTAATTCATCTTTTTTTGGTTTTGGAATTAGTTTTATCAGTCCCTGTCTTAAAGTGTGGGGGAGTTCTTCCTTGTCTAAAGCCTCTTCAAATAGCTCAGTTAAAAATGGAGCGATTGCTTGTTTAAAGTATTTATAAAATTCCCCTGTTATCCCGTCATTACCTGGGGCTTTGTTGTCCTTGAGGGAGTCGATGCATTTTTGTACCTCTGTTATCGTTATTTTTTGATCACACGTTACATGGAGGTCATCATCTATTCTACTAATATTTGGTTGTATGGTCTGAAGAAATAGTGACATTTTATCTTCATTTAACAGGTCAGTCATATACAGCTTTTCATAAAAGCGTGCAACATATTGCGAAATTTGTTTTTCATTTTCACACACAGCGTCATGAATTTTAAGTTTGCAGAGAGAAGACATTTCGTAATTCCTTTTTTCTAGACTAAAGAAATATTTGGTGCATTTTTCCCCTTGTTCAAGCCATTTCCTCCTGGATCTGATGAAGGCTCCTCTAGCTTTCCCCTCATAAAGTTTGTCTAATTCAGTTTGTAGGTAAGCCAATTGTTCTACCTCAGCACTGGTTGGGTCTGTTTTCTCAGATAATGGAAAAATTTGGGTGACAAGTTGAAGTTCTTTTTCTTTATTATGTCTGCTGGTTTTTCTACTTAACCTTATAGCTTACTTTCTTATATTTCATTAATTCCCAGTATAATCCAAAATTCTTTAGTAAATTTGCTTGTCTCCAACATTTGTCAATGATTATTTGGCTTTCCTTTACAAATTCCTTATTTTGTAGCAACATTTTGTTTAATTTCCAATAATCTCTATTGACCCTCTGCCTGTCAGATCCAAGATGGAATTGAATTGATATAGCTTTGTGGTCTGTCAATATTGTGGGTTCTATTTTGATTGAGTCTACCTTATTTTCTAATTCAGCCAAAATTAACCAAAAATCTAAGCGAGATTGGCAGGATCTGTCCTTGTTGCTCCATGTGAATACTTTTTCCTGTGGGTGTCTGTGTCTCCATATATCAATCAGGTTCATTCTGTCGCAGATATTTTCCAATTCGGTTATCTGTTTGGCTTTTGGAGGCCATCTGTCCAGACTACCATCAAATACTGTGTTGAAGTCTCCACCCCATAAGATCTCTGCTGAGGGAAACAGTGTCAGCCAATAATTAATCTTATTTTCCAATGTTGAGAAAATTATGTTATTGAGAGATTTACTGTTTGACCCATATACATTAATCAGAATAACAGACGATTGGTTGATATCTGCCAAGAGAATGATCCACCTGCCATCCTTATCAGCGTCATACTTTATAATTTTCCCACCATATTTCCCCTGTAGGATGGCGACCCCCGCTGAGCGATTGCTGCCATGAGAGAGCCATACATTCCTTCCCCATTGATTCCTCCAATATGAGACATCAGTTTCAGAAGAGTGGGTCTCTTGAATGAAATAAAAATCTGCCCCTTTATTCTGAAGAAATAAGAACAAGCTTTTCCTTTTCACTTCATTCTTAATACCTCTGACATTAACAGAAAAAATAGAAGTCGTCGCACACATATACACACACACAGACACATACACACACACACACACACACACACACACACACACACACACACACACAAGCACCTGCTCAAAAAAACCTCACTGGGTTGAGAGCAGACACTGAGGGTTGGCTACTGCAAGCAGACCAGACCACTTCCAAACTTAATTGAGATAGTTTAGTTTACCTCTCTTCATTAGTGGTTCATCACTCTATAAAGGATATTGAGGAGAGAAAAGAAAAAAAAAGAGGGGGATTGCCTCGAAGGAGTGATCGAAAAAAAAATTCCTACTTCGATTCATTATTTCAATTATTTTAGCACGAGAGAGCTGTAATATAGGGAAAAAATAAATAAATTGATAATAACTGAACTAATGTAGTGGCTGTTGTTGAGAAATAAACAAAGAAAAAATAATAGATTAAATTTCAAATAAACATTTTGTCAGCCATATCGTAGAAGAGGTTGGGAGCACCGAGTCATAAGCAAAAGTCACCTTTGTCAGAGACAACTCAAACGAAAGTCTCACGGATATATAACAACTTAAATCTGTACCTTACATGTCCTTTGCTGTAATTCTTACACCGTCAACGTATGCATGCGCTCCTCTGAAGCCAGCTTTCTTCCCTTCTTTCCTCGCTTTCTCCACTTGCGGCCACAGCTGGTTTCTGGCCTCCTTGGCTTCTTGAGTGAGGTCCTCCAGGATCTTTAGTTTTCTTGTTTGGGGAGTCTCCGATGTCCTGGCGTCCTTCCAGATTTTATCTCGGTGTGATCGTGACAGAAAGCGTACTAAGACGCGCCGGCTGGAGCGCTCGTGTCCGGAGCGAGGTCCCACTCTGTGCACGATATCCACCGTAAGAACCAGCTGATCCGCGATGTCAGGGGAGATTTGGCCGAACAGGTCAATGATGATTTTCTTAATGTCCTCCCCGGTCCTCTCAGGTATCCCGGCGACGCGCAGGTTCCACCGTCTCGAGTAGGCATCCATGTCGTTGAATTTGCTCCGGAGCTCCATGCTCGCTTTCCCCAGGGTTGAGGTTTCAGCTTGGAGGGTGGTCATCTGGCCAGACATGTCTTCCATCCGCCCCCACAGAGCCTCCAGGGAGTCGGTGACGTTTTTCGTTGTTTTAGTGTTTTCTTTAACAGCATCTTCCAAGGTTTCGAGCCGCTTAAGAGTCTCGATTTGTCTCTTCTCAATTCTCTCGAGGATGCTTAACGACCTCTGGTCAGAGTCCTCCACCACATCACTCTGCGGTTTTTTGCTTTTCTTTGATTTTGGAACTTCAGGTACCTGTTCAGAAATCGGTTCTTTTCCCGCAGCAATAAGATTGTCCATGACCTCAAGTTGGTCAGTCAAACAGCTTCGTGCATAAGAGTGCATCGTATTAATAAGGTTTCTTTTGTCCATTACCCTCCGTGTGATGAAACTTGACTTACTCGGTGTCCCAGCGCGAGGCAGAAAAGTTTGTAACGCACGTGGAGGCGGCGTTCCTCCGCGGTTTGTCTTGCGGCTTCCTTCAAGTCTCTCCTTTCAATGCCTGAGCAGGTTTAATTATGCCTCAGTGTCGAGGCTTTTTTGTTCCAGAGAGGTAAGTCTTTTAAGGTTCTTTTTAAGTTCTTCTGGTCATACTGCAGTGCCACTCGGACCACTGTCTTAGGACGTCATGTCTCCACCATGACTCCACCTGCCTCCACACTCACACGCCCCATGTAATAATAACCCCCGTAAATACTGTTGTTCAGGACTGCTTACTTGTGCTTCCTACCCACTGTAATAACCGTTGTTCTAGCCCACATGCAACATTTTTGTTCTCATTCATGAAATGCTTAGATTGGGGACATTTTCGGGGACAGCTTTATCCGGGGACAGATCATCCAATTCGGGGACTGTCACCTTTGTTAAAAGCGCATGTTGAACATTGCTTTTTCAGGGTGATAATGGCATCAAAGATGCATTTTCTGCCAGCATTCCCTCTGTGCTTTTGCAGCGGTGACGGTGTTGCTTTTGAGGTTTATGGTAGCTTTGAATTCTTCATACTTTCTCATGATCGTCTCCTGCTCCTTGTTTGTAAAGTACGCAGTCCTTGACTCTCCAGCCTGCTCTGACGCTCCAGACTGATCCATGTTCGCAATTGGTCAGATGCAGCGGGCTCCGCCTTATATGTGTGCACTCGCTCATAGCAAAGCTGGATCCACTTATGAGGTTGATAACCAGCGTCGTAAAACCGCTTAGCGAGACCGCTGGCTACCGCGCTAAGTTGAGCGAGGTACCTCGCTAAGTTGAACTTGCTTCGTAGAACAGGCCCCAGGTGTGGCCACTTCAGATCTGTGCGCGCACAAGTAAAGAGGGTGGGGTCAGTGCCACCGGACCATTCTCCACAATGAAGAAGGCTGCACATCATTTTTCACAGCTGAGGAACAGAGCATTATTTTACGAGGAGCAGTGAGGAGCAGGACAGCCGCAGCCGCTAAAAGCCGGAGGGACTGCTGGCAAAAAAAATCACTGGTTGTATAAATTACATTTGTGCGTTCATAAATTTATGGCCCCCTAATATGTTGTCATGCAGGGTGTGTGATCACCTCCATCATAGACCTCATTATTTCAGACACAACAGCAGTGGGGAAAAGAGTACGTGGGAGCAAATAAAAATAAATCTAAAAACACCCTTTAAAGTAGTTTGTAGGTATATTGGAAGATTTTATTTGTATATTTCAACATGTTAACAGTGATTTCCTCACACTGCCTTTTTTTCTTTTTTTACGAACCCTTTCATAAATCTCACGTGTGTCCTATCGTAGGATGAGTCCTGCGCTCAGTTCTAGGCAAGGTTGATAAATGAGGGCCAGTGTGTTTAAATTCTTAAGTCCCTCTGTTTCGATGAATACATCGTTAGAGAAAGAACAAGTGTATCTACAACTATGGAAAAAAAACATGACTGTAGAGTGTTATTTGTGGCCAGGAGTGTGGAGAACAATTTCAGAGAATTTCATGTCACTCACTCTGACATGAACATTCCTTGCAATACACACCCATTATAATCTCAAAATTTCGCAAATATGATCATGGTCATTGAACAGTAAGTGTTTAAAAATACCATACCTATTGAAATGTGGATTGATACACTTATAGACAAGACTTGTGTCTACATGTTTAAGTTTTAATGGAGGCTCTAGGTGAAAGTATGGAGAACGAGCAGATGTTTGAAAAACTCCAATTGCTCCTTTTTTCTTTTACATGTCCCATTAACTTCAATGCAAAATTTAGACCCTATATAAAACTATAGGGGCCAGTGCCTTGGTGTGTTTGCCCCGTGGCCCTAATTCAAAAAAAGAGGCAGAGCTCAATGTGTGATTTCATCCTTTTATTGTTTCTGTACAAAGCCCATCAGACGTTTCCCTGTCACACCCGAGAGGGATACAGCATCTGAAACAGACAGAAGTGACATCATCAGCTGCAATACAAAAATCAGTGGGCAGACTCGCCTCCATAAACCTCTGTCTAGCCTCTTTGTCTGGAAATTGGCCAAAGAACTGAACGATTCTCCGAAGAGTTTCTGGACAAAGAGGCAGACATAAACCCAGGTGAGCCTCCACCTTAAATGGATATTTCAGCATAAAATTAAGTTGGGGTCAAACACACCATAACACCGAGTTAGACACCTCCTCAAGAGATGTTTGCCCAAAATTGGAGCTGGTGTCTTCACAGTATTATACTATTTTTAATTCCTGTTTTCATGGGTTTTATGAGTCGAAAGTCCAAATTATGTAAAAATAAACAAAAAAATAATTTAAATCGTGGGCCCTGAACCTCTGATCTTTGAAAGTTTAACTTTTTGAATGGAATTATGGAAGGGTTTTATTTTTTGGAAAGGGTCTGTATGTACTGTTGATGAAGTTAGGTTCTGTTCTGAGCATTATTTATAGAGTGGCTTTTTGTTTGAGCGTGTGGCTCAACAGACCGCTGTGTATTGCTATCCTGCGGTCGTTACCAAAGTTGGAATAACTAGAGAATCAGTGGTTGACAACATTCATCTCTCGAGAGGGTTTCTAACTACGTGTTATGGAGTGTTTGACCCTAAATCAATTTTATGCCAAAATATCCCTTTAACAGGTCACATGACCAGCACAGTGACCCGGTCAAAAAGCCAATGTGACACACCCTCAGTCCCTAAACTCACCACTCTGATTCTGTGTCCGATGGCTTTTGCTGGCAGGTTGCTGCTGAATTTGGCACGGACCATCCCGCTGTTCCCGTGAGGGCGGGTTACCTTCCCCCAGATCACACGGGTCTTATTGGGTTTACCGCCAGGAGTCACTGTGTTCCTATAACAACAAACAGGCATAAGCACTTCTTACAGACCTGGTTTTATTGCTCAAACGTAGATTTAAAATCAACATTATCCAGGTGCATTCTTACTTCTTAGCCTTGTAGACGTAGGCGCAGCGTTTGCCAAGGTAGAAGTCAACCTCATCTCTGGTGTAACATCCCTCCAGCTTCAGCAGTGCCGTGTGCTCGCGCTGGTTCCTTAGACCACGCTTATATCCAGTGAAGATGGCCTTACTCCACAGTCTAAACACAAACAGATCCAGGGTCAGCATAAACATTCACCTGATGTCTAACATGAGTCTGGTTCTGCTCGAGGTTTCTGCATGTTAAAGGAAGTTCTTCTTCTCCACTGGAACCTAATACACTCTGTTGACAGTTTCACTCATGGTTAAACACCAGACACTACAGCGCTGACTAGTGTTTTGGGGAAGTATTGCAGAGGTGTGGTGCTCAAGATAGTGTAGGTATTCAAGACATAGGCCTGACACAGAGACCTAAACCAGGTTAAGGGTTTTATATTTAACAGAGTCCAAAATTTGATCAACATCCTTCTGAAGAAGACATAGACCCAAGGAAAACCTCTGTGACATCAGTATCATCCACCTCTGTGCTGTTGAGGTTTAGGGAGCAGAAAACATCTCATCATCTGGTACTGATTCTACACTACCAACTGTTTTTTGTATACACTCTCATGTTCTGGGTTTAAAGCAAGGAAATTGTGTGAGCTTGAAATGTAGAGTAGGTAACATTTTTGTGCCTGAAAGTTTTTAAGGGTTAGGAGAAAGAATAGAGGGATGAATTAAAGAAGAGAAACTATAACAAAAGGAACATTTATAGTTTTAACTGATTGCGGCGCAAATGAACATACTAAGCTAATTAAAATGCAGGACTTACTCCTTATTAAAGCATTTACATTGTGTCATTGACACTTAATATCTGAGTTAATTATCTGAGTATTGATTGCACTAAAGTTTAAATATTATGTTTTAACATGGGACAACTACACCTCTTCAATACTAATGATTACTGTGGCTGTATGTGTAACATAGGCAGTGACTATTCAACTCTGACAACCAGACACCATCTGTTGTATGCAGCCCTACATTGACAACTATAAGATAATCTATCACATTTTTTGAAGTTGTGATAGCAACACTATATCTCAGAGTAACATTTGTGCCAGTGCAGGAGGATCTTATTTCAGCAAACAGAGTATGCAAGTTAATGGGAGACTGTTTTTTTTATTATTTTTTTTAACAAGTGACCATGTTTGTTGGCCAATTGGCCACGATAACGTAAGCTACTGCTGAGGCTCATAGCTACTGAATGCGATAGAGAACGTTAATTTGTTGTCCTATCAACAGGTAACAGGTGTGAACAGCTCCTCTGGTGTACGCCATGACAGAGGTAAAGACAGGATGCTACAGCATACAGGTAAATATCAGAAACCATGATCCAGAGTCAGTCTGCAGGGTCCACCCTTGCAGGTAATCATCATCTACCCACAGATCAGTGCATCAGCAGCCTGATGTCAGGTCACCAGGTGAGCTTACCTTCCAGGCATTGTCAGTCTTCTTCAGGTAAGTCCACCTGCACACAATCAAAATCAGTCCCATTAGAGCCAACAGGGAAAAACACAAAAGTTGAATTCTTTATAACGGTGCTTGTTAGGGTGCCAGTGCCTGGGAAATCTTGGTGCTCCAGCTATCCAAAAACATCCACCATCAAGCATAACGCAGAAGGTAATCTGCAGTGCATCACACAGCACTATAGGCATGTATTTTGGCTGTGTGGTACTTACAGTTGACTTGTCTCTACAGGACCGACACTGATCGAACCCTGAAGGACTCTAGTGATGGATGTTCTGACGCTCAGAGCTTCAGCACTTGAACTATGATTTTATTTAAACAGCAAGGTTTAGTCTGAGGGGTCAAAGAGTCCTGAACCATAGCCATGTGTTCATGTGGGGGGGGGGGGGGTGTAAGTGAACTCAGTCCTGAACAGACAGCAGGACTGTTCAGGGGTCAGGACAGTCCAGCCTCAAATGGATGCGAGTGTAACCACGGAGTGAGAGTGTCTTCAACATCTGATTAAACACCCTCAAACCCTGAGACTACAGGAGCAGCCTACAGGAAATTGGCCTCGCCTTAAGTCTCGTCACCATTTACAGATCTCATCACACTTTTGTTGACAATTGATCAAAACCTAATCCTCCAAACCAGATCAGCAGACAGGCTCAGGACAGAGTGCGGAGAAAACGGACTCATGAACCCGGGAATGGAGCACAGACTTCCCAACAGCAGACTAGCTGTGGTGAACTCGCCTCTCACTCTCTCCCAGAGTCCGAGCTTCCCCCTCACCTGCTCACGGCTGTTACCTGCCCACAGGTGAGTTCAGACCTCGCTTTGACATGTGCGTCCGTCTGGACTGAAAACCCATCCTCCGCTTAGCAGACATGGGCCCCTACAGATGGACAGGTGAGTCTTACGTTGTAATACTAACCTGTGCGCGCGCTAACAACAGCCACAACCTATGATGTTAGCGTGCTAATGCTAATTCCACGGCCTGGACCGGGAACCGCTTTGAGGTCAATCCGGAGATAATCTCCGCCATCACAGACTGATTGACCCCACAAACAATGCCCGGGGAGTCGGTCCTGACTGCTCATCATAAACATGTGGGTATCAGGGGGCAGAAGATCCGGATTACCGCAGAAACGGACTTTAAATCAGACACAGCATCACTTACCTTCTCTGTGAACAGAAAGATGGAGGAAAAGGAAGTGGGCAAGGCATTCTGGGAAATTATTGTAAACAGAGGTGGCCGCGGAGCTGCCTGATCAGAAAGACCTGTGTGCGAGAAATGCCCGGATGTATACTCAATCGGCTTCGATTTCTGAGTACGGAGCGGAGCTTGCTTCACGTACTGCTTCTGCCCCAAAATGCATTGCGCACTTCAGCTGGCAATATGGCCCTCTTTCCCGAGGATGAAAAGAAATAGATGGCATGTGATTGCAATAATAATAAGATATATATATATATATATATATGTGTGGTGGCTGCTGGTATATTCAAGGAGGGGAAGCTCATTTTTCTGGCCAACATCATAATTGTGTTTGTTTATTTGTATGTAACAGAACAGAGTCGCCAAACACAACGGCAGTTGTTTTTAACAAAGACAAAAGTCGCTGAGGATCGGTAAAGTCTCTGGAGCAGTTAAGAACAACGGAATGAATAACTTGGGAAATGCTTTGGTAGATGTTTTATTCTTCAAGATCGCTGATTCGCTTGTTTAGCTGTCAATCAAAAAAGGATTTCGCGTCAGACAGCTCATCCAATCATGGATGCAGAAGCTCGGAGTCCGGGAGAAAGTCGGGACCGCCCCCTCGCCATAGAACTCCAGAGACGCCGAGCGTCCGATGGGCGGGACAAAGCCTAGCATATCCAATGAGCGTCTAGTTTCGCTGCTGATACAACCCACTTTGAGCTTCCACATTGAAGTCAGCAGAAGCCCAGCGTCCGGCTGTTTAAAGCGCTGAGGCGCTGCGAGGATGAATGAGAACGAAGTTGTGCAGAATCAGCTTATTATCACACTGTGATAAGAAGCTGATTCTGAACAAAAGATGAAGGCTTACTCGCGCATTTAGTTAATGAAATGTACACACAGCAGTACGTATTTCACTACTTCTTCTTTTTTTGGGGGGGTGACATTTTAAGGGAAGCAGAGCTTCCCTTGCAGTCTTAGAGCAATCGCCACTGATATGTATGTATATAGATAGATAGATAGATAGATAGATAGATAGATAGATAAACAATATTTAGTCAGTATACAGTAAACATCTTTTTATCATATTTTTATCTTTTTACCATATTTGTTTGTATTTTAAATTGGGATTGTAGGTACTGTTTTTAACTATTTGTATGAATTGACTTTATTTATTTAAGTGTCTATTAAAGATGTATTTATTACAACAAGTTTGAGCATCTTCTCATCTCTGAGCGCATCATTAAAGTGGTCACTCATATTAAGCACAGACCTCTGATTAATAAAAATAATTATTGGTAGAGAGCACATGGTTCAGAATATACAAACGGGGGATAGTTGAACAGTTGATAATGTACAGTATATGTGAGCTTTACTAATTCTTAATTGTGGTTGAAAATCCATGAGGAAGTACATAGCTGCCTTGAAGAAAAGACGCCTTTGTCTTCTTGCATGGCGGCGCTCTATGGTTTTCAGCCTACACCAGGCAGAACTACCCGATGGTTTCTGAAATTATCATTGAAAATGAGAAGAATGTAGTCGGGAAATGATGTATTTGCCAAGGAATAACCGAACAAGGTCATAATAATTACCTCCGCCAAGAAGGTTATGTTTTTGGTAGCGTTGGTTTGTTTGTTTGTGAGTATGTTTGTCTGATAGCAACTTTACGGAGAAAGTAACAGACGGATTGACCTAAAGTTTTCACCAGAGGTGCGTCTCAGCCCCAGGAGGATCCCATTACATTTTGGTGGTGATCCAGACAAAATTCTGGATACTGTGATCCAGAACACACAAAAATACGGGTTATGTTGGAATTTTCAATGCTGAAAGATAACAAATGGGCGGCACAGTGGTGTAGATAGGTGGCACAGTGGTGTAGTGGTTAGCACTGTCGCCTCACAACCAGAAGGTCCTTGGTTTGAATCCTGGTCAGGGCATTTCTGGTTTTAGGAACAGTGAACATACCAGTTTAAACACAAATAAACGTTAATAAAAGACACGTAACAGTAAAAGTTTTGGTGTGAATCACAATATAAGGGGGGACATGAGCTGCTTGGCTGAGGTCTGCGCTCTCCGAGTGCTTTTCTAGTTATGTTGTGTGTTGGTCATTTTGCAGCCCTATGCTGCTCATCACACGCCCAGCAGGTGGTATATAGCATTATTGGAGACACAGGTGTTTGTGTTATTTTTTTCATCCACTGCCGCTCAGTTTGTGTCGCGTAGTTGTTACCTCCGCCAAGGAGGTTGTGTTTTCGGTAGCAATGATTTGTTTGTTTGTCTGTTAGCAACTTTACGGAGAAAGTTACAAACGGATTGACCTGAAATTTTCACCAGAGGTGCGTCTCAGCCCCAGGAGGATCGCATTACATTTTGGTGGTGATCATCCGGATCGCCTTCTGGATCCAGGAATTTTTTGAAGGATTCTTTATCATTGTGAGATAGGGCAAATTTTTGCATTTAACTCTATGAAAATGGCCAGAGTCTTTAGTAAAAAATTACACAAATGGATCTCAATGAGTTTTATGAGGTATCAAAGGTTGATCCTGATCCAGACAAAATTCCGGATACTGTGATCCAGAACACACAAAAATAAGGGTGTCATTGGAATTTTCAATGCTGAAAGATAACCAGTGAAGATACAAGGAAGTGTACGCTTACAAATATTGCATAATAAATCATGCATTTATGTATCTAATATGAGCTTTGTTGTTTTAGGAACATTATGAACAGCGAACATACCAGTTTAGACACAAATAAAAGTTAATAAAAGACACGTAACAGTAAAAATTTTGGTGTGAATCACAATATAAGGGGGGACATGAGCTGCTTGGCGGAGATCTGCACTCTCAGAGTGCTTTTCTAGTTGATTATGAAAACACTTTGCAATAATTTGGAAACGTGAAGGGGGAGCTGCTGCTGCCTGGTGTTTACGGTATGTAGATGCAAACACCCACCAAGCGGACGCTTTGGTCTCCGAAAACGCAGAGACAAATTTACAAACAGCCGCTATTTCAAACAACTGGGCTCATAATCGTGATGTAAACACTTCCTTTCTTGCTAGGAAAAATATTATTACTGAATGAATTTATATAATTTGTCCGGAATGCAGTCGTTTTGTGTAGCTTGTGGTAGGACTATTTAAATTTTTCCGGCGCTGCGTCCGGCCGGCACGAAATGCATTCTGGGGTATTTAGTATGCATCTGTATGCAAACGCTCTGGCAGCCGCGGCATACTCAAATCATCTTTGAGTATTCAGTATGCAGTACTGATTGAGTAGGTAAGTAGACAGTAGGCAGTATGCCATTTCGGACACAGCCTTCTTCTTCTTCTTCTTCTTCTTCTTCTTCTTCTTCTTCTTCTTCTTCAATGGTGTTTATTGGCGGTTAGCAAACCAACTTGAAGGTGCATTACCGCCACCTACTGGTACCACTACTGTGGTAGAGTAAATTGGCATACATATATAAAGTGAATTAGATCCTCTCCAGTAGCCATGAGTTCTTCAAATATGCCATTAAATGCTTGAGCGCAATTTCTGATTCTAATCCTAGTAGATTCCCCATGTTAAGTGCCATCCTGGTTTCCTGTGCTGCTGCTGCCAGTGTCCTTCTTTCCTCCATACTCCACAATCTAACAACACAGCCTGTCCACATTTATCACATCTGCCATCAGGGTGTTTTCCTATTTTATACAGTGTGTTGTTTAGTCCTGTGTGTCCTATCCTCAGTCGTGTGATGACTGCTTCCTCCCTCCGGTTCCTGCCCCCCCTTCTTCCCAAACCAACCCTTTTCTGTATATTGTAAAGGTGTCTTCCCGTATCTTGGATGTCCCAGTATTCTAGGCACACTTTCACCATATTTTTCTTGATTGGTGATTTACCCTCTTCCTTACTTAACAGAATTTCTGTATTTACAGTGTGTGATTTGAGTGTTTGTTTGGCCAGAAAATCAACTTCTTCATTCCCCTCTATACCTACATGGGCAGGAACCCAAATAAAACAAACTGTTAAACCCCTCTTGTGCATTGTGTAAAGTAGATTATGTATTTTATATATGAGTTCTTGCCTACATGACTTCATGGTTTTGATACTTGTAAGAGCTGCCCAACTGTCTGATGCTATTAGTGTATTGTTATAATTGTTTGCTTCTATCCACTCCAAACCTAAGATTATAGCAACTAGCTCAACTGTATATACTGATAAATGGTCTGTGGTTCTTTTTTTGATATGTGTTTTGTAGTGTGGAATGAAAACTGCTGCTCCTTGTCTTTCCAGTATCAGGGTCTTTTGATCCATCAGTGAAAATCAATATTTTATCTGAAAAATGTTGTTCTAGATAACTTTCAGCTACCCTTCCCGCAGAGACCTGCCTATTCCGTTTTTTTCAGTTGTTGCTGTAATTCTAGTTTACTGATGGTTCTATGAATAACCAGGGAGGAGTATATGAATATGGGACCTTCGAAATGAATTGTACGTGACCTAATCCTGCTTGTACTGCTTTTATGTTTCCTATCAACCAGAAACACCTAATATTGGATTCATTATGTTCCCAACAGTCGGGATGTGAAGTATTATGCCCTTGAAGATTGACCCAGTATGCTAACATAAATTTCATTCTCCTGATCCGTAATGGTTGTTCCCTCGTTTCTACTTGTATGGATGCTACTGGAGAGGATTTAAAAGCTCCACTACATATCCTCAGTCCCTGTGTCTGCTGCACATCCAGCTTTTTCAGGTGACTTTCTGCTGCTAGATAGCCTATACAACCATGGTCCAGTGTTGCTCTCATAATGGCCTGATATATATTTAGCAGTGACGCTCTTGTTGCACCCCAGTGTCTTCCTGAGAGGCATTTTAAGAGATTATTGTCTCTTCTACAATTATCCCTCACTTTTTCAATGTGTTGCCTCCAAGTCAGCTTTTCATCCAACCACATTCCAAGCATTCTAACAACACTGACCCACTCAATTTTTTGACTATATAATTTCAGGGAGATCTCTTTGTGACGAGAAAAACCTATCCCTTGTGTTTTTGCGACAAAAAACGTAATATTTTTGCTCTCAAGGAAATATGACAGTCTCTCTGTCACCAACCGTTCCATAGTTTTCCCTAACTGTGATGTTAATGCAATGGGTCTGTAGCTAGAGGGATTTGATGAATCTTTACCTGGTTTTAGTATTGGTATTATAACTGATTGTTTCCATGTCAACGGCAGTTTGCCTGTGTCCCATATGTTATGAAACAGTCTTAATACTGCTTCAAGTGCACCGTTCGTCATATGAGCTAACATGCTGTAACATACACCATCTTTTCCTGGTGAAGTTTGTATTGCATTAAATATTGCTCTCCTCAGTTCAAAAAGATTAAATGGTAATTCTAGGTCTCATCCTGACAATGTGCTTCTTCTTACTGTACCTCCTATATTTTGTGCAAGGGTGTTGTCTCTACACTGTTTAGCTTTTACAGATAAATTTTCCAAGCTGTGGATTTTCACAAATGTCTTCGCTAGGAGCTCTGCCTTATCTTCAGTACTTATTGCTGTTATGTTATTGTAATGCATCACTGGTATTTCAAAGTGACTTTTTATGCCGTTCATTTTCCTAATCATGCTCCATACTTCTGCCAGCTGTGTTTCTCTCCCAATTTTATTGCAGTATTGTCTCCAGTATGTCCATTTTGTTGATCTTATTGTTTTTCTAACTACTGCTTGTTCTCTTTTGTATTGGATCAATGTATCTAGTGTGTGGTGAGCTTTCAACTG